CCAGTTCATAGTTGATAGAAGTGTTTTGTGTTTTCAACCGCACTAAGACTGACGTCTTTTCATTGGTCAGCCGGTTAGCGCGGTCGATGCTAATAATATAACACACACACACAGCAGCAGCAGCAGCTGCAGCAGAGTTGTCCCCCGATCTGCGAAGTCGAACACACGCAGCCATCTATGCGGAAGATGATCGGAGGATGTGATATATCACCACACCTTGAGAGTACACGTTGTACAGAGGAAAACTGAATTGTCTCTCTCCTCCCCGTATCCAAAACTGGTGGTTTACACTGTGGCACAACCCACAAGCACAAAGCTGTGCCAGAGACAAAACGCTTGGGGTGCGTGCTTGGTGTGTTCGGCCACAGGACGGCGATTGATTGTCCTGTTTCATCGAGATGGCGGCGGGTAAACCTTTTTTTTACTAGTCGAAAGGGGCACGCCCGTGTTCGCACCCAGAACTCACCCATCTCTACGCCTACACACCCAAGACTCGCTACGCCCAGAGAGCCACATACCACACCAGTGTCCTGATGATCTTACGCAATACCGGCCATCCACTGTGCAGTGTCGCTGTTGGCTGCGCCCGCATGTCTGTCTCGACGTTGCCCGTTGGCCCGTTGGTGCATGTTCATACGATATGCATACCACGTTCTGCGGATTTTTCAGACTGACCTCCGCATACATATGCGTGTGTGTGCACTTGTTGTACACAAGTGCACGTGTGCACACGTGCACACACACATGTATGCCTCCCAACGTTCCGACCCCAACCCCCACCGTGTCTGCACGGTCTACATTGCTCTGCACCTCTGCTGACGCCACTACGTAATGCCTCGGCTGCTGGAAAGTGCATGTGGGGCAGTTGGTTCAGAAGCAACAGATTTTCACCTCACCAGGAATCAAATGCTTGTTTTATTTGTGTTCCGAATACGAAGTATATGTCACTCTCCATCGCAACCTCCACTCTCCATTTCGCCAATATAGTGTTACAATCCTTCACAGGGATCACAGAAATCCGCGAAAAAGGTGCCGTTTTTGAGCATTTCGATCGGGGGCTTGTCGCCACCGATTTGTGGCCGGAGGAAATTCTGCCGGCATCGGTTTCGGACCGTGTGTTACGTCTGCTGAACCGCGGCTTTGCCAAGGCCGGTCGATCCAAAAGAAGGCCGCGAACCGCCACTTTGTCGAGCGAATTTTTCGCTCTTCGCGTTTGTCTCCCGAATTTTTCTTTCTAGATTTTTTTATTTTTATTAATATGACACAACGAGTCCATCTCTATCATAGAAAAGAGTCAGAGACAGATTAACAATGGAATCATAGCGTCAGAGAAAACTACCTGTGTGTCTACGGTTTCCCAGACAGCATACAGGGACATCTCCCCTGTGGGTAACAGGCTCAACAAATCAGTTTGGTAGCTGTCTTGTGTGTCTCATATATGTTATGTTGGGAAGGTGCAGACGAAAGGTGTTGGGTACTGTTGGGTAGTCGGGCGTTTTGTGTGTCGCACCCTATTAGTTGTAGGACATGCAATCTCCATCATCAGTTTAGATTTTGTTTCTGCTGCATCGTGCATTATTATTTGGTGTTTTCAAGATCAGCTCATCATGCCTTTTGCCCTCGCCGCTTTGAAGAGTCTAGATGGCAAAGGCCGGCACTCTCTCCACGATCGGGTCCCGACCAGCCACTCGATCGGTGACTCGCCCGCTGATTATGCTGTTTTGCCGTCCGCTTTTCCTATTGCGGATGATGCCGCTGCTGTTCTGCCATCTGTTTTCCCCCCTGGGGACAACACACATGTGTCACCCATGGCAATTCAGGGTGTAGACTATGCATGTCGGTTGACCTCAACACCACCGCAGGTCCCACTGCGATTGCAAAGTTGCAGGAAGACCTTCCACTGACACGCATGTCAGCACGGTGACGGCAGGAGAGCAAGGGAGCTCTCCTGCTGCAGGCACTCTCCCGGCGTCGAGGGAGGCAGACGATGGTGGTGGCACACCTACTTTGTCTCCTTCCGCTGGGGGTCAACTCGGAACACCGGGGACGAGTGAGTACTGCGGTGTCGCCAGGCGCCAGTGAGGGTACTGGCTCCGGCGGCATCCCCCGTCAGCTTGCTGCTGTCTCTCAGGAGACCGCTGTTGTGGCTGTCCCTTCGCTCTCAACCGCTGAGCTCGAGGCACGTGCGTCTCGCCGAGAGACTGATCAGCAGAAAGCACGCGAGCACCATGCTCGTCTCGAACACGCAATCGCCTTGGCAGAGGCAGCTGCGCGCGAAAGAGCGGAGCGTCTGCGTAAGGTGCGTGAAGAAGAGGAACGGCTGGAGGCTCAGCGTTACAGCGCTCTGTTGGCAGAAGACGCGGAGGCACAGCGTGAGCACACGGCATGGATGGCATCTGCTTTTGGGACGGCCCGTGATCTAGAAAAGCGGTTGGCACGTCAACAAGCCGCAGAAAATTTCTCGGAACTTTCTGCGGTAGATTACGTGTCTGGTGTTGCAGTTGCGGTTCCTGCTATTGCCGCTGCTGCCCCTGCTGCTGCCCCTGCTGCTGCTGTAGCAGATCCTCTTGCCGCTGCCGCTGCTTCTGCTGTAGTTACTGCTGCTGATGATTTTGCTGCGGCTCCTGCCGCCGTGACCTCTGCTGTAGCGGCCGCGCCTGTTGTAGCTGCTGTGCCGCCTGTCGCTGTCGCCGCACCTGTCGCCACAGAAGCGGCGACAGGTGTAGCCGATNAGAAGACGCGGAGGCACAGCGTGAGCACACGGCATGGATGGCATCTGCTTTTGGGACGGCCCGTGATCTAGAAAAGCGGTTGGCACGTCAACAAGCCGCAGAAAATTTCTCGGAACTTTCTGCGGTAGATTACGTGTCTGGTGTTGCAGTTGCGGTTCCTGCTATTGCCGCTGCTGCCCCTGCTGCTGCCCCTGCTGCTGCTGTAGCAGATCCTCTTGCCGCTGCCGCTGCTTCTGCTGTAGTTACTGCTGCTGATGATTTTGCTGCGGCTCCTGCCGCCGTGACCTCTGCTGTAGCGGCCGCGCCTGTTGTAGCTGCTGTGCCGCCTGTCGCTGTCGCCGCACCTGTCGCCACAGAAGCGGCGACAGGTGTAGCCGATGCGTCTGCTGTTGCTAATGCTGCATCTGTTGCCGCGCCTGTTACGACTGGTGTAGATGCTGTGCCCGTTTCTACTGCTGCTGCTGCTGATGCAGTACCCTCTGCTGCTGTGACTATGGCCGATACGACTAGCTTTAACAGTAATGCTGCCGCGGTTGCAACCAGCACCATGCCTGTTCAAGAGGGAGGCACAGAGACTCGTAGTCGGAGTTCCTCCGTGATTACGACCATCTCGGCCAGCGGATCAGTGGGACACGTCAGGGAACGGCGCAAACCTCGCAAAAACACGCCCAGCTCGTCCTCTTCAGGCACCTCTTCGTCCAGCTCGTCTTCTTCGTCTTCATCGTCTTCTGATGCAGGTGATATCGAGTCTAGTTCTCTCGACACTAGACTTTTAGGTCTCAACATCGACGGTTTAATCGAGTTCGTCAACACCAGCCTTTTCGTGACGTCAGAAGCTAAGGATGCTGGCCTTGCACTTGTGTCCAGGATCTCGGTTGATCTCGTTTCTCAGCGTCGTGAAACGGTTGCAAGCCTGCTTTACAGCAGCTCCCTTTGGTCGTCCAAGAAACGTCGGCGAGCAGCTGGTGGTTGATCTGCGACGTGTGCGGGCGGCGGATGTAGACACTTCCGCATGTTCGAGGGCGGATGTGGACACTGCTGCACGTTAGAGGTCTGGTTCGGGGGGTTCGGGGGGCCGCCGCTCTCAGAGGGGGGGGCAAACTTTGGAACATTCCAGGTGGGGCACATCTGCGTCTGCTGGGTCCCAACGTTCCTCTCGTACTCACGACCGCCCGCATACACAAAAGTACCGCAGGCAGGATGCAGGCCGTTCGAGAGGGCATGACTCCCGCGGATGCACGGATGCCCATCGGGACGCCGGCGGAGATGGTAACCGGAAGGGCCGCGGTGGTAGTCACCAAAATACCGGGGGAGAGGCTCGTGGCAGCCACGGACCTACTCGTCTCTCCTACTATGGTCCGAGCAGCAGGCAAGTGCAGTATGGTATAGCAACACAATACATGCCGTTTTTTAAGCTGCCGTGGGCTGTAGATGCGCTCGGCAACCCGTACCCGTTGCAGCCGCCGTCCATGGGTCCTGGGGGTCAACAATGGCAGATGACTATCCCACAGGACCCGCTTACTGTCGCTTCCGCCCGCATGTCTGATGCCGTCATGCCCCCGGTTAGTACTATGCCGCCCCACATCGTTGAGACGTCGGCCAAAGCGACCCAATCTATCGTTGACCACCCCGAGCTTGAACTAGAACGTGCGCGGCAGCTATTGCATCACATGTCTCTGTCGAGTTTCCCCCAGCAGCGACAACCGTCGGCGACGGCGTCGCCGTCGGTAGCGGCTTTTGACGTGCCGTCGTCGAGACTGCCATCGCCGGTGTCACCGCTGTCGATACTGTCGCCGCCGGTACCGCCGCTGCAGAGGACGGTGCCGCCGGTGCCGCCGTCGTAGATGCCGCAGCCGCCGGTGCAGGTACCGCAACCGCCGGTGCTGCAGCCGTCGGTGCTGCTGCCGCCGGCGCCGCCGGCGCCGCACACACCGCAGCCACCGCCGCCGCCGGAACCGCAGCGGTCGGCGCCGCACCCACCGGTACCACCGGTGCCACCGATGCCGCCGGTATCGCAGCCGCCGGTGATGCCACAACATCCGGTGCCGTTCGTAAAGTCAGAGCCACCATCAATAGCCTCTGCTTTGCTCTCGCATGCATCCTTTGCTAATGTGAAACCAGAGGTACCGCCCCCCGCCTCCGCTGTGACCACGGAGACGGCACATATTTCTGGAATGGTACCAACGCCCGCTTAACGTATTTTGCCACAGGAACCGCCGGTCTCGGCTATCGCCGTGTCGGTAGCTAGGCCGCTGCTTTCGGCCACGCAGGCGGCCGCAAGCGGTTTCACTGATGACCGGGCACTGCCCTTGTCGTCTGCGGGTGCACGCACTGCGCAAGCACAGCTTGATGCGAACGCCGCTGCCGCCGCAGAGGCGTACGCCCTCAGCGTGCGCGAAGGATACGGCAAGCTTAAAGTGAACGAACTGTATGCGGTGGTGCCGCTTCGTCCTGCAGAATTTTCCGCTTTCGTTCGTTCGACCGAAAGTGTGTTGGCTGAAATCCTGTCGGCCGCTGATCCCTCCAGCAAGTAGACCATCAAGTCGCCCACATGGGTGGCTGGATGGTATGATCCCTTCCACAAGCGTGTCCTCAAGGCGCCAATGCCGCAACCCGCGAATAGGTGGATTCTTCGTTTTCTCAGGTGAAGCGTTTCTTGGAGACGAAGGACAAGACAGGGCCCTCGGCATACCGTCGGCTGCTCAAGCTGCTCGCGGACGAGTGGGAACCGAAAGGTTTCAACCGGGGCATCGACAAGCTGCAGGATTTTGGTGTGCCCAACGGCACCCCGTACAGCAAATTCGTTACGAAGTTCAAGGCATTGGCAATGTCGGAGTTGGCCTCGCACAGAGCTTTCGCGCAGNGGATTCTTCGTTTTCTCAGGTGAAGCGTTTCTTGGAGACGAAGGACAAGACAGGGCCCTCGGCATACCGTCGGCTGCTCAAGCTGCTCGCGGACGAGTGGGAACCGAAAGGTTTCAACCGGGGCATCGACAAGCTGCAGGATTTTGGTGTGCCCAACGGCACCCCGTACAGCAAATTCGTTACGAAGTTCAAGGCATTGGCAATGTCGGAGTTGGCCTCGCACAGAGCTTTCGCGCAGGATCTGCGCATGGTACAGCGTGCGCTTCGGGACGCTTTGTTGGAGCAGTATCTGAATGTTCTCTCGTCTTTGCCGTTGAAGGGTAAGATTCTCCACAACGTAGTGTTTAGTGATCAGGATGAGCTTTGGGATGCCTTGTCTTCGGAGGAAGCACTGAAACATTCGCCCGCCTGCAGTGGCGACCGCTATTTTTCCACTGTCACTTCTGGGTTTTCATCGGCGCCTACACGAGCCATCACCGCGACCGTGGGGCAGCAGCGGCCGCCACCGCCGTCCTCGCTGCAGCCGTCCGCGTGGTCGCCGGGACCACAATTTCCCGCCGGGGTGATGGCCATCGACCCTGTGCCGTCCGATAACACATGTCCCTTCGAACAGGACTATGACTGCTGGCCGTTGCGTGGTCACTACGGCTCTGTGTAAAGTGTCGTGGTGAGTATGGCAAAGATGGACCCCCCTCTGTTCACACCCCTGTTGACACCCGCCGACCGAGCACAAGCTCTACAGTAATTTTCCGGTCAATGTCTGAACTGCGGGCAGGCGGGACACAGCCTCAAAACATGCCCTTATGCTTTTACCAATTACATCGGCCTCTTAAACCTGGCCATTGCTTCGCATGCTGATAGCGTCAATGTTTTTCAACGTTGGCAGAGCCGCATGAAATACCACCGCCCGCGTGTGCACAATAAAAATAACCTGGGTAAGAGCAGCGGCCATGCACAGGGCGACGGCCGCCGCTCTGGGAAACATTGCTCAAACACACACACACACACCCTCCGGCGCCGGCCGTAGGCGCCGCCCCGGCCTCGTTTCCCGCCGCCGTTCCTGGAACTCCGCATANCAATAAAAATGGCCTGGGTAAGAGCAGCGGCCATACACTGGGCGACGGCTGCCGCTCTGGGAAACGCCGCTCAAACACACACACACACACACACACCCTCTGGCGCCGGTCGTAGGCGCCGCCGCGGCCTCGGCGCCCGCCGCCGTTCCTGGAACTCCGCATACTCGGAGTTCCGGAACCCCGCACTCGCGGGGTAACTGACACGCCGGTGACGGCCTTTTGCACACATTGCCGTCAACAGCACCGGGTGTGCGCTGTACGATTAGTTCCCGAGATGTTCGCTTCACACCGACGTCCTCGGGCTCGCCTATGTTAGTTTCCCAACCTTTTACTTTCTCAGATGTCGCCCGACGCCTCATCACAGCCTGTTTTGGATGGCCGTCGTGACTCGTCGGCGCCGAATACAGTCTTGTGGTGTGGGCGGGGGGGCGACAAGACTTCGGGTGTCTCACGGACGCTCGCCCCGATGTCTACGCCCCCCGGAGGTATGGCTTCGGCTTCTCCCACCGTTTCGGCGGCTCCGGGTGGCCTCGTCAACCACGCGAAAGCACAGGGACTTTCGGGACAACCCCAGGCCCGCCACGGTGGATCGAGTACGCTTGTACCCACCGCGCCCCCTCCGGACCCCTCGCGACGTTCCTCTACGGAGCACCAACGTCGCACGGTGCTGAATGCACCACCGTTGCCGAGCGCAAGTAACGGTTTCCCAAAATCGGAAGGTTCATGTTCTTTGCCAAAAAATAGCGGTCCCGAGCCTCCCGCGGCCGCTGGCCATGTTGGTCGAGCGCCCGCGATGAAGGCCACTTTTAATGAACAGGCCTACGCCGACGTTTTGCGCGAAATCGCCCGCGTAGACCGCTTGGTTTCGCACGCTTCTGCGGCTGGTTCACCGCTTTTGCCTGCCTCTCCTCGTAACTCACAATCCGACCCGCCTTCGGGTGGCACCCAGATTGTCCTGCCGGTTGCCGGTGCCATTTCCCTTGATGATATTTCTTCGGGGAAGGTAAGCGCACCCGCGGCAGGCCCCTGTTTTTGATGGAAGTCAGGAATATTACAACGATGAGGTTTTCTTCTTTTGGAAACCGCCGTATATTCTGTCTAATTGGACGCCCTGTGAGTTCTCGGTCCATGGCATTCGCTACGTGTGCGGCAAACAGTTCATGATCGCGGAGAAAGCCCGCATTTTCGGCGATGATACCGCTTATGCCAAAATCATGGCTACCTCCGACCCGAGGGGACACAAGTCCCTTGGTCGCAAGGTACGCCGTTTTGAACATGCCCTCTGGGAGCTCCGACGCCAGGATGTTGTCTTTTCGCTTTTGTATGCAAAATTCGCCCAAAATGCTGACGCGCGCGAACGTTTGTTGGCTACGGGTGACAGACAGATAGCGGAGGCTAGCCCTTATGACGGATAGTGGGGCAGTGGTGTTGATGCCTTCGATCCGCGTGCAGCGTCGCCCTCTAAGTGGACGGGAAAAAACCTCTTGGGCAAAGCGCTCGTTGCGACGCGCACGTTTCTGCGTGTGCGACCGGTCGAACCCGATAAGCCTTTTGTGCCCTGAACGCTCGGGGCAATCTGCCCCCGTGTGTCCCACTATACACGAAATGCACCCCCGGGGGAGGATTCTTCAGCTGATGATCCCCCTTCCGAGGACGCGCGTGGCCCCTTGGGCGTGCCAGTGAACACGCCCTCGGACCACTCGAAACAGGTGCTGCACATTGCCTCTGCTGCTTTCCGCGAAGCCGCCGCTTNGGAGGATTCTTCAGCTGATGATCCCCCTTCCGAGGACGCGCGTGGCCCCTTGGGCGTGCCAGTGAACACGCCCTCGGACCACTCGAAACAGGTGCTGCACATTGCCTCTGCTGCTTTCCGCGAAGCCGCCGCTTGCTTCCCCACCGCCGCTGTTGGCGGAACACGGTCCAGATTTGGTGAGCGGTGATGTTATAGTGGATTGCGATACCTCTACGATCCGAGTCCGTGTGCATAGTGGTACAGGAGCCGTGTGTACAGCGCCTGGTGTAGCCCTTTTGGACTCGGGCTCACCTTCGTCTTTCATTAGTGATGCATTTCTTGAGGCCATGGAGGCGTCAGGAGCTGCATCTGTCCACAGTCATCGTTCGGTGTCCGTTCGGCAGTGGGGTGGTTTTGGTTCTGGCAATGGTCTCCGAACCACCTCATCCGTGCGGCTGTCCGTTCAACTTTGTTTATGGTGGTAGTGCCACCGCTTGACTAGCGGTGTGGGTGTATGTTGTCCCAGCTGCCATCATGGGTCATGCCCTCCTTCTTGGACGTGATAGTTGGATGCGTTTTAACTCTCGTTTGTCCACTACTTTGCCCACGCGGTCGGCGAGTGGGTGCATCATGGAGAACTTTTCTCTTTCGTCGGATTTTGCGGCGAGAGCTTCCGCGTATGTCGCTGGACCTTCCGCCCCCGGGGCATCTTACTTCCTGCGGTACGCCGGCAGGAAGGGTGTCTCCCTTTCCGATAAACCCACATTGACGAGGGTGAACCTCGTTCGCAATTCCGGCACTCCTGCTCTCACCGGCAACTATCTTGTCACGTTTTTACCGAAACACGGCGCCCTTTCGGCGTCGGACGCGTTTGCTTCGGGCGGGCCTCAACACATCCCGTTGACAGGGTGCGCCGAGTTGGAGCCCGGTGACGTGCTTGGAGTGGCGACTGCCCCACTTGTGCAGATTCCGCTCGCGTCGATTGATCCCACACCGCAGACGGCCGAGGGTGTTGGGTCGAATGACCCTACGCCGCCGACCCTTTCCAAAAATGGGCCGCCGTCTCGTGCGAATTCTTGACATTCGAACATCCCGGTTGCGGATCCGAAAATCTCTACCTCTCCCGCAGCCCCACTGCCGCCGAAACCGCCGCCACCGGAACTGTTGGAACGCCTCTCGGACGCGCAGCGAGTGAGTTTTCGCGAGTTGTGGCAACGTTTGCCTGCACATTATCACGATGCCACTTTTGACTTACACGACTCGGGTTGGATCCCGGAAGCCATCAACAGCCTGGCGGATGTGCTGTGTCACTTTTCGGATGTGTTTTCGGGGTCACCGTCCGATTTCGGTTGCTGTTCCGTGAAACCGTTTCGTTTGGAAGTGCCCGCGGACGCGAAACCGTTGGCCTCGCGTCCCTATAGGCTCAACCCTCTGGTGGAGAAGAAGGTCGATGCAATTCTCGATCAATACCTTGCTGCCGGTCTTATCCAGCACTCGCAATCGCCGTGGGCGAGTCCTCTGGTTGTCATGCCTAAACAGGACGGCAATCTGCGTTTCAACAGACTTGCGGGAAAAATGGGAACGTATCCAAAAATGAGAATTGGCGTTTTTCTTCAGAACCATCGCGTGTATCACAGAACCAAAACTATCCTGCGAAACCCCTTCGCCCCAGCTGTGAGATGAGCTCATCAGAATCGCCATGCTCCACATCACGCCTTCTCACGGGCGCAAAAAGCGATTCGTGCTGGTTTCGACCTGATTTCTCGCGATGCTGGCTACCTCGGCGATGCCGAGGACATACAGCTTGAGCAACAGCTCATTCGAAAGCTGCTGTAAAGACCTACAGCACTGTCAACTTTTTGGGGGGGAGTTGCAAAGGCGTGGTTTGCGAACGCCCATTCTCATTTTTGGATACGTTCCCATTTTTCCCGTAAGTCTGTTCATTGTGTGTCCGAAATTTTTCACATAGGCCCTTGCTTGGGGAAAAATTCAGAGGTGGGTAAGCAGGGGAGAGGCTGTCTGCCGGTGTCGTTCGCTTGTTTTTTCGTTGCCTCTCGCTCTCCCTCTCTATTTCGTTTGATCAACTAACTGCGAATGTAGCTGCTGACATGTGAAGGCGACAGAAGAGACGAGGGAGAGAAGTCAGGCGTAAGAGACCTCAGGGGAGATCGGCACAGACAGGCTCTTCAAGGAACAGCACGAGAGAGAGCAAGACACCAGCAGCAGCAGCAGGCGCCATCAGAAAGAGCACATTGCCCGAACACTCCGCGTTACTTGGTTGGGTGTCTGTGATGTTGCGTGACGTGCACCAACGGCACGGGAGTGAATAACTGGGGG